CAGACCAACGTGGTTTCATGGGCCCAGCGGGCCAAAACTTTTGCCGAGTACTTCTCAGCAAAATATTAGTAATTCGTCTAAAAGAGATTCCCCTGTACCGGCATCAAATCCTTGTCCGGAAGCTTCTCAAAAACTGATCCCTGTTTTAACTATGTAACTATGCAAGACCTTGACAATGCTCTCCGCAAAGTAAAACCACTCAAATCCGTGGGCACCAACGGGCTACCCAGACAGACTTACAAAAACGCTCCATATCCCTGACTCCTGGCTTTTTTCGGAAATAGTGATGCTTGTCAAAATCGCAAAATGAAGACACCTGTTTCCTGGTGAACTATAGGCTTGGGTTTCTCACGAACTTTTCATGTAAAATAGTTGCCCGTATGATCCAACCCCACCTGGAACAACGTGTTGACCCGAGTGTTCGAGATGCAGCAATGGACTGTGGCTGCATTCCTGTTCATATTCACTCAGTTATCATGGCCCTCTTTTACCACAAGCCTACCTTTGTTGTGTGTGACTCCTCTCAGAAATCTGCTACCTGCTGTCAAACTAAAGGCCTCTGCCAGGGGTGCCCGCTCTCGTCATGTTCCTTTGGTTTAGTCTTGAACCATTTCAATAAGTTTTTCCATCAGGTTCAGTTTCATTGGAAGTCCCTTGGTTTAAATGATGATAAATGCCAGCACCTCCGTAGTCATGGGAACCAGCGTTTGTATTATTTTCCACGGCTGGGTATGACCACACCCACTAGTTGTATACTTGGACTCTCGAACATCCAGTCGCAAAAATCTCAAACACCGTGTTTCCCAAGCTGTCACCGCCTCGCGGCTCGGTAAGCTCGTCATCTCGCATTCTTCGATTCCCCTTGCCTGGAAACTTACCGTGTGCCGTTCCATCGTTGTGTCGATACTTACATATGCTGTGGATAGTGCGCGTCTCTCGAATGCACACTTTACCAAAATTAACTCAGTACATTTTATGGTACTGCGCAACATCTTTAGAATCAGATCCCGTTTTGTCACAGAGATTTTGTCCCCCTGTTCCTACTCCTCCGCAGCTTTAGTCCCAGCAACGATTGCAACTGCTAAGCCACATTTGCGGGCATCCGCAATTCTTGGAGTACAAAACTACTTTTCTGGATTTTCAGGCGTCCCGACATGAGCCCTCTCCCGCAGGCCTGGCCGGCCACGCCCACATTGGCCACAGTTTTGTTCAGTGGAGGCTACCAGTCGAATCGATTATTTTATATATCCTCCGATCAGCCACCTAGCCATGCAGATGTCAACAATGCCTTCTTTAATATTCCGTCGTTGTCACAAATACAAACAGCTCATAGTAGTACCTTCTTAGTGAACATGGGCAATACACTGTTTTGGCGTAAGGTGCAAACATTCGCCTCTAACAGAGTTCGCCGGAAAGCTCAGGTACATAAACCCCAAACTCCTTGGCATGCACACTAAACCCCGAAAGTAGCTATTCTGAAGGCAGTCGGTGCTGACGGGCAACTGTAGCCCTGTGCCTTCAACAAATCGGTCACAGTGCTTAACACCAAGCTTGCCAGGGGATGTTTCAGAAATGGGTCGGGATGTAGCTTTCATTCCAACTGGGCTCACGCATTGCAAGTTTTTTTTTGTTATTTAAAGTTCTGATATTCACCTTACCCTGTATGTGCGTTTCCTGCATGGGCTGCAAAGCTGTTCTAATCCAAGTCATTCATTTAGCAAGTGCTTTTTCACAGAAGTCGTGTGGGCAACGCAGCTTCATTTCGTGCCGCTGAAGCCGCCTTTCGGCTTGTGTTACAAGTTCTGCCATCCATGGAGAACCCACAACGCAGGCATCAGGTTGACTTGTAGAACATCTGCTGGTGTACAGCATGATCAAGAACTCTACATTTGCATGAAGCCCCCAGCTTTTCAACATAACCAGGTCGAATTTGGACAGTGGACAACATAGTTTAGGCTTCGACATGGCTGTGCTCTTGGTGGCCATTTGCATCTTGTCAACTTGGCCAACAAGCGCACCCGCCCAGAAGCAGGCGTCCCAAAGCTGATGTAGGTTCCTGAAGCATTTGTACAAATGTCATCGTATGGCTTAGGTCTTTCCTTGCTGGGATACTTAAACTTGTAACTCGCGTTGCTGATTGGAGGCTGCGTTCAAAGTCAGCGCGCAAGTTGTCAGTGGTTGGCCACGAACTCCTGCAGCGGTCGTCGGCTAAGATATTCCGTGACAGCAAATGTAGCCGAGTCGCCAACACATTCCTGTCGTTCAATTTCAGTTTTCTTTGGTTTGTGTCGTTGGATTGCCCTGAACTGGTTTGAAGGCGCAGTCTTTGGAGTGGATTCGAGATGTCGAAGTGGGTCAGGCGGATTAATGCCTTGGCAGTCACACCGCAGACCAACTTCCGTGGCATGTCCTTTGTGCAGGCATCGGACTTCCTTCACGTTTTGGGTCGGGCACCCGTAAACAATGCTTGCAGGACCAGAGTGGTGTTCTGGCACAATTCATGCGTCTGCTGAAGTTATGTCGCTTGCTGTGCCATGGCAGCCAGGCATGCATTGGTAAGCAAAACCTTGCCAGTGCTTCTCACAATATCCGCCGCCGCGTGGGTGCGCAGGATTAGACCAAAGTCATAGTCCTACAGCTGCATTAGAATCTGATCCAGCCGCCTCATCCTGTCCAGAGCATGACCGGGGTGACGCCACCGGTAGCACGATCAACGGATTTCGGGCGGCAATCGTCAGACTTCGGTCGGCAGTCGTCGGATTTCGGGCGGCAATCGTCAGGTTTTGAGCGGCAGACCACAGATTTCGGACATCAGATCGCGCCGGTGCCGGTAAGATCGACAGCTTTTGTGAGACAGACGAGTCCCCTGGAGGCTGGAGCCATAAACGTGCCTTTGTCAGAAATTTGGAGATGGCACCAGCTGTGTTGGGACAGCATGAAAAAGTTGTGTCCAGAGATACTGACAACGTAGACTGTTTCGCATTCGACCGCAACTTCACTTGCCCCTTGCAAAGGTCTCAGGGGTACGGCTTTAAGCTTGAAAAAGCAAAGATGAGGGTCTGTGCGCGACCGAGGACTTGGAGGACTATCTCTTCGCCCCGCGTGCACCAGAGCCTGTAAAACCATCATCCAAGTCTGATGCGGAGGCTCCAACTTCATCAGAAGAGTCCACCTCTGAAGAATCTGGAGATGAGGACTCCATCAGCCTTTGGACATGGCGCACCTGCGGCTTGCCACTCGGTGGCTTCTTTCTTGCCTTCCTGAACGCCACCGTGATGGGTGTTTCTTATGGGTTCTTCCTCGGCTACATGGGATTGGACTCAAACGTGATGATGTCTGTCACCGCCCTCATGAAGCTTCCACAAGTGCTGCTTCTTCCCTTCGGAATGATGAACGACTGCCTCCCCATCTGTGGTCAGAACAGGAAACCTTATTTCCTGGCGTCGTGGGTGTTGTGCGGTGGTGCGCTGTTGGTCATGAGCGTATGGCCTCTGCCTCCGCCGTATTACTGTCAGTTTCCTGACGGCACCTACGACACGCTCTCGCCTCCGTGCAATCCAAGCATCCACAAGGAGAAGAATTGGTACGTCTTCCCCATGTTCATTCTTGTCGCAGGTGTTCAGATGGGCTGTGTGGCCGGAGAGGGCTTGCTATTGGAGTACTCGCAGCGAGAGCCGCTGATGAGTCGTGGTAAGATGAAGGCAGAGTTCACCATCGTCACGATGGCAGGCTCGCTTGCTTCGTCCGTGGTCATTGCCTTCTTCATGAACGGCAAGGAATACTTGGGCACCTTCGACTGGAGTCTGTCTTTCAACGGCCTGATGACGCTCTGCTTTTGCATCTCTGCTGTGCTCCTCGTAGTCTGTGCCTGCTGCGTGCACGAGCCCCGCAAGGTGGAGCGCCCGACGTTGAAGGCGCATTTGGAGTCCTCATGGAAGCTTGCTTGCACCATAGGCCATAGGCAGGCTCAGGGCTTAGCTCTTGGTAGGGTTACACAGCCTTGGTGAAGCCTCGCTGTGCTTCTCGACCGAGGCACCTGGTCAAAAGCAAGTGCCTCTCCAGCGTACTCTTGTTCGCCTTCATCAGCCAGTTCTTCTCCGGCATTACAACCACAGCAGGGCCCATGGTCCGCTACCAGTGGGTCCAGGTGAAGGTCTTGCAACAACAGCTCTTCCAGATGAGCGGCATGTTCGTGATGATGTTGGCCACGGCGGCGTACAAGGTGTACTTCCTCCAGTCTTGTTGGCGAAGGGCAATCCTCATTGCCATTGTGACGGTGACAATCACTGATGCAATCCCAACCTTCTTGGCCGTCTTCGATGTGATTCGTGACCAGTACTTCTACCTTGGCGAGGAGGTCGTGGCGGCTGTGCCCACAACAGCCCTGGCCCTGGTCCTGAACCTGATGGTCATCGAGCTCTCGGAACCTGGACAGGAGGGCTTGTGCTATGGTCTCATCGGAACCGTTATGCACTCCAGCCAGCCCGTCTCCACGGCCGTGAGCAATCAACTCTCCAGCCTCTTCACACCATCCTTGTCGAAGCCGGAGAATTATGCTGCGGACTTGCCTAGCTTTCGAACTACGGTCGCATGGTCTTACGTGCTGACCTACACGGCCTCCATGCTCGGTGCGTGTGCGCTCCCTTTGATCCCCCGCCAAAAGGCAGATGCCCAGAGGCGGAAGAGGGACTGGAAGTCGAGCGCTGTGATGACGGGGCTCGTCTTGGGCGTCCCGGCAGTGTGCCTTCCCTATGGCGTTCTTGTGATACTTCTGACCAGCCAACCAGAGACGGCCTGCTTGCGGTGGGTCGGCGGCCAAGGCTGCGAAGCTCATGGATGACACGAATTGCTGATGTCTTCTAGAGTCTAGCGGGTCTAGCGAGTAGTGTCTGTGCCGGCAAAACTTTTTTTAACCCGCCGGCAAAGTGTAAAGCTCAACGACCATAGTTCGGCGCAGGCGCCAGAGCGCTGCACAGTACGCGATTGTACCGTGGACTTGCATGTTTAACTGTGACCGTCCGACATTGCCTCCCAACCGAAGGAAGCGACTGTTTAAAGGACTTTTAAAGGCAAAGTGCTGCGTCTCAATGGGGCTCGGAGTTGCACGGCCAGGTCACATGTATAGTCGTCTTCTGTCTGCAATTCTCCAGGTGACCTGCAAAGTCGCAGGCGCAGTCAAGTTCTGCTTTCGTGGCGTGATCCACCGGACCGTAGTTGTGTGTTCCTCACCATGCTTCGCGATGTAGAACCCAGATATGCGAGTGGTGGCCACAAATCGCAAACTTGTCATTATCGAAATCGTAAAGATTTCCGTGTGAATAAAGATTTCCTGTGAAGAGATCCTCTTTGAATTTGATCGTTGCAGTAAACCGCCGTGCTCTTTTGAGTGGAAACGCCGGCCTTTCTGCGTGATCTTCGGCGTGCGGGGTGGGGGTCGGGGGAACTGGGACTCGGAACTGAGAAGAGCCGGGGAAATCTTGCTGTAAGTCCCAGGCAACTCGAGCTTGCAGGGTGGCGGCCTAGCAGCGGCTGAGGCTTTGGAAGCGTGGGGAGGATCGCAGTGAGGCTTCGTCCTGGCACCTTTGCAGGATTTGTTGACCTCCAGCTCGGCTCGTACCTACCACGAGCTGCTTGTCTCCAACTCCTACTGCAGCTGGGCGGCATGGAAGTTTGCTTGAAAGCCGATTGAATGCCATGCCAGTGCGAACCGGTCCCTGCTAAGATTCTCCTCGCATAGAGTCCTTGCGATCGCTCGAACGGACAGACAGGCCAGTGCTTCGGTGCTTTTCGCCCACTCACGATGCTTGTCCTCACGCCTTTTTCAGCGCAGGAACCTCTACGGCCCGAGGCTCAGAAACGGCCTCCCGCCTGCTTCTGCGCGCTTGGCCACGTGGGGAGCAGTCGCGCGAAGGCAAGGAGTGCACTGCTGGCGCCTGGGCGCTCTTGTGGACCGGGCCCCGGCTTCTCTTTACCCTCTGTGGCTGACGGCTGACGTTAATCCGTTCCGTTCGGATGTTGTTCTCTGCTCGCTGATCTGCAGAGGCCAGGCGGCTCCGGGTCCCCGGCCACGGCATGCAATGCCGGGCTCCCACAGCTGGGTTGTGAGACGGAACAAGCATAAGCACTGCCTCCCCTCCCTCCCTCCCTCCTCCCGCTCTCTGTTCCCTCCTCCTCCTCCTCCTCGCTGCTGTTTCGCATGCGGCAGTGCGCTGGAAAGTGGAAATACCAGTTGAGGCTGAGACCCTGCACAAAGCCCTCCGGGTGGCCAGCACTTCAGGTCACAGACACAATTGATGCATTTCTCCGTCGCGAAGTTGAAATCCTCGTTTGGAGGTTTGGCAACCGGCTTCGCAGCAAGCCGCCCCGCGGCTGCAAAGCGTGTCGGAAAGCCAGCTCCCGCACCTCAGACCTCGCCTCGTTTCTTTTGGAGGCCTGGACCTGCAGCTTCGCAGTGGCAGCGCGGTGGGGAGCCCGAGCTCTCCGAGCTCTGTCCGCTTCGGTGGGGGTGGGATCTGCAGGGTGTGGCCGTGCTCTACGGCGCCGTGAGCGTGCCGGGGCTCCTCAGCCTGGCGCCTTTGCTCCGAGAGGCAGCCGCGCCCCTGCTCTGCGCCATTGCTCTGCGATGTTTTCAGCGCCCCTGCCCTGCGCTGCCCTCGAGGCTCAGGCGGTTTTCAGACCTTAATTGCTGTAGCTTTCACGATACCTTTCATGAAGCATCTCCAGAACCCATAGGCCATCCCAGGGTTCCTGAGAAAAGCGAAGGACTGACTGCTTCTAGCGAGACTGGCACTTGCGTGCTGTACTAGTAGCATGGAGCGCCAAGGGCCAGTGTTGCTGGCGCGGACAGACGGCGGTCGCACTTGGCACACTGCATCTCATTTTCGATCCGGACGACCCTTGGCATACTCTGTCGCGACGGGCAACCATGGACCGCAGTTGCGGGCGAGCAGTAGCCTCTGTGCTACTACGATTGCTGCTATCTGCGGCCGACTTGGGCGAGTCGGAGTGGTCCTTCGCTCCGGGACGGAGAAGACGCAAGGGTGCGAGTCATACGAGTCGTATGAGTACCCGGCCCTCGTGCTGACTTCTGCCCTCGGGGCTGCCGGGGCCCTTGTCCAGACCTCCAGACCTCAAAGACCTGCGAAAGTCTCGCGGATACCGAGGTCCTATTCCCTTGGCTGTTGGAGGCCTGCCGCAGCGGTGCAGCACCCGGACTTGCTGGGGCAGGAGGCTTTCGTGCTACCTGTAAAGCATCATACCACGGTGTGAGTTCTGTGAGTTCGCATTCTCTGAGCAAGAAGAGCAGTTTGCCATGTGCAGTGGGTTTGGGACAGCTCACTTGCACTCCTGCTGTTGCTGCCTGTTGGCACAGCGACAGTTCCGTGCCTTCTCCTCGTGGTCTCCAAGCGGATCTTCCTCTACGTCCTGGTCCTTGCCTCGAAAGACACCTTTTGGTTGTCTTCGTCTTCCGGTGGTAGCTCACATCCTCTCAGGCCTTCTGGGGCGTCTTCGTGGCTGCCCGGCGATCCGTGGTCGCCTGAATCCTCGGTTGACCTCGTTTGCGGTTGCCCGTCGGCCGTTTGGGGCCTCTTTAAAAAGAGGTGCTGCTGCCTGCCTCGCTCGGGGAGCGGCTCGTGACGCTGACGGCGGAGCTGCTGGGCCTGGGCCCGGAGTTGCCACCCGAGCTCAGGAGCCGAAGCGGTGAGGGAATGAATCGCCGTGGGCCATGGGCCATAGGTGTTGTGCCGCCGGGCTTTTAAAAGCGCTTTTCTTACGAATCGGAACTCTGCGACAGTGCGGCGGTCGTCGTCAGTCTCGAACAGGCAGGAAGCTGATGAGCTCGAGCAGGAGCTGGACAGCCTCAGCGACACGCAGCAGGCTCCCGTCTCGGGTGTCGGGCTGTTTATTGTTGAAAACCTCTCCCAACGAACCGGACTCTTCAGACGTGACAGCAAGATTTAGGTGTCGGCCTGCTGTTAGAGACTTCAAGACTTCAAGATGAAGACGTGCTAGGCCTTCGGTCAGGCACCAGACCAGGCCTACATAGGGTATGTAGAGTCGGAGTGTCTGAGGAACAGACTCCTAAACCCTCTCATTCATCGAAGCTTCGGCCTCGAAGCCTCAAAGCTGCGGAGGCTCTGGGCCTCCCGCTCCTGCTCGGTGCCTTCCTTGGATGCTTCAAGACATGGGCAACCATGATGACAAGTGATAGTACCGTCCGGTAGGGAGCGTCGTCAGAAGAATGCTGGGATGAACATAAGTAGTGGGTATAAAGAGAGTCTTGGAGTCCGGTATCTAGCACAGACAGAGGAGCAGCTCCTTGTGATAGGGAGCAGGGAGCACGCAGCAAGCTGGAGCATGCCGAACTTGCTGAATGCTCGCATGTCTTCAAGGTGCTTGCAACACACGTGACCTAGCCAATGCGGAGCATACGCATACCGACTTTCTAAGCCCAGCCCCCACCCCTCCCACCTCGACTCCGACTCGAGCCCGACCGGACCCTGACCCCACAAGACGACAGCCAGCCTTAACCTTTTTCCTCACAATGCTTGGATCTCCGACGGCCTCGTGGGTCGTCGCCCAGCGCTCGCGCGGCTGTGGCGGGTTCCTGGCCGTGATCTGCGTGGCCCTTGCGGCGCTGGCGCTGACCGTCTGTGTGATGCCTCTCGGTCACACTCTATAGAGGCTATGTGCTGCGTCTTGTACTCAGCTTGGCCTTTTGTTCGTACATGGCCACTCGTGAGGATGTTTGTGGATTCCTCTGGTTCGGGTCCAGACCCGCCGCCTGCACCAGCGCCACCTCCATCGCCTGTCCCAGTTTACATGCCGGAATGCACAGCGCATGAGTCCAGACTCAAGCTATGCAGTTTGTCGAAGGGAGATGGTGACTGCACGTTCTCCTATCAAAACAAGGGCTGTCCCATCTACTATGCAAACTCTGACACATCTGGCGCTGCATGTTATTTCTATGTGTATGGAATTCGTGGATTGTGTGTTGGTTTCCGGATTGCATCTGCATAGATATTCCAGAAGAGTGCACAAGGAGAAGTGCTCTGACTCCGGTCTCACGGGCAACTGCTGCCCAACTCCCGAAGGAGTGCTACTCGAGTGCTGAGTCTTGGCTCGAATAAAATGTGCCCGACCTCTATCCGGCTACTTCCAACGATGGGTTGATGTCAGCAAGCTCGTGATTACACTCCTTGCCGGCTGTCCAAAGTGTCTGGTCTCAGGTAGACCAATCCCGTCAAATGCTGCCCTAGATCCATTTCATAGCATGCTGCTCAGCCGCACTTGTGCACAGCCCACACAGGGCTCTTTGGTCCCTGTCGTGGGGATTGTGGTCGTTGAAGCAATGATGGCTGGGATCCATGTTGGATCTGTGGCGTCCGCAGTTCCCAGGTGCTATGCACCAACTCCTGCCAAGACCATCACGAATCTTCCTACAGACGATTACATGGCTCAGTGGGCCCAGCCACTCTGGGGCACCCCAGGGCGGGATGATTTGAGCGCGATTCGCGCCATGTGCCTCGCCAGTGTCCTGCTTTTCAAGTCTGTGCCAACTCTTGGAATGCTCCCAGAAGCTGCCATCGTGTCCGTAGCCAAGGAACATAGACACCTTGCGACTCTATGGCAACGATCCCCGCCTGAATCACAAGCACTTCCTGAACCGAGCCTATGAGCTGGGCATCAGCGTGGTGGTGGCTCCTCAGCTTAGGATTCCCATGTAACTTTCAGTTCACAGAGTCCGCCTTGGGGCGCTTGTCTTGTGAAGGCGATCTCAGACTACCCATACACGCAGGACGCGGCTTGCGCTGAGCGGTTTGCCTTGGTCGCGCTGGTGACACCACATCTGCCAGGATGCAACCGGCAGATGTGCAGCAGGATTGCCATACAATTGCTTCAGCGAAATAAGGCCCCTTGCGCAAGCTGAGTTCGCAGTCGAGCGAGCAGCAGCCGTGCCAACAGGTCGCAGTATTCCGCCATGCTCCAGAATGGATTTGCAGAGAAAGGCCCCGATGGTCTCATGTACTACCATCCGAGCATCAAGGCCAGCAGCGGGCGGCATGTTGTCGTTTTAGGACTGTGACTCCCAGGCGTCGACTAGTGAAGGAGCTCAATCCCTGAGGCAGTGATCCTGATCAACGAGCCGGAGTTGAAAATCACGTACGACGGGACCATTGCCAAGGAGGCCTTGAGCGAAGGGCACTTTGGCGAAAGCTTTTCACCTGAAGCAAAAGGCACAACATGAGAGAAGTTCCGGGACAGGATTGGGTAGCAGGAGTGCCGGGTCCTTTGCAAGCACTTTCAGAATATGTTGGTACTATATTGTGTGTCCACTGCCTCGCAGCTTCGAACCGCGGAGCCACTTGTACCGTCCCTGGAGCCTTCAGTTGAGAACGGTTGCGAGACTTTTCCAAGATCAGTGAATGGAGTGCGACCTTTCTTTCCGAGGAGGACGGAAGTAAATAAATGTGCCTTGGGTACCCGAAACCCCGAAGCTTCACAGAGCCCAGGTATTACGCCAAAGCCCTCCTCTCTGCGATCGACGGCGCTTTGGCTGCCGAAGAGGCCGGGAGTTTCGAGGGTGGGAAAAGCTGGGAAAGGACACTTCCATCGCACCTTTCCTTCTCGCAGAACCCTGCGCCCCCAAGCTTTGAACCGTCTGTAACGCTTCCAAGCTTCATCATCCTGGAAGTTTCCGGAGGACATGCGCCTCCATGGGCGCTTTCCGCCCTTCACTGTCGTCCTCTGGGTGCAATTCATTCGATTTTGGGGTACCCTACCAGTAGTGGGTGGATGCGTGTCGGTGCTGTGTTCGGTAGCTCTTGTTCCAGAGGGCTCCGATCCTTAGCGGGAGGAAAACTCACTGAGGTCCACTCGTTCGCCACCTGCCCGACCTGCAAGTCCAACGTTGCAGGTTGGGCGGTGGGGCTGTGTGTCTTTGCTTCTGCGGATCCGATGTCACGAAATCTTGAGAGAAATTACTGTAGCCCCTTTTGCTGTCCTGGCTGCTCTAAGAGTGCTAAGAGGCTTTCCAGAGGTGTGGGTCGACGCTGCAACAGTCCGACCGATTGCGCAATCTGCTCAGGCAACAAAGCTGGAGAGGCCTGTGGGGTTTGCAGAGTCCATGTCAGGGTGTCACGATGTGTCGGAATCAACTCGGTGGGCTCTTCAAAGTGCTCAAACTCGCCTTGAAAGGTGCAGGTCGGGACGCTCGCTTCTCTGGGCTTTATGTACGACTTCGTGGTGGCAGGGCTTGGGGAAGTGGTCGATCCTGGTGATGATTGCGGTATAGTTATGGGTGCAAGTGGTTCTCGTTGGGATGTCTAGGTCGGTCCCTGCAGGGAATGCTCTCGCCAAGCCTGTACGACTACGCTCCTCACCATGACCTGCGGGCCGCATTGCAGCACCGTTTCCTGCTGGGCTTTAACACGCAAGACATCACCGAGCCCCGGCGCAAGAGCCGACTGCCAACCCTGGCTGTTTGCATGCATGTGCCACTGGATCTAAGGATACCATCTGCGAGCAGGTGCTGCAGCCGTTAAAAAGCTCGCCACTTTCGGGGATGCCGGTCTGGGCTGGCGAG